TCTTCAATTTTCACTCTTTGATATTTTGTCATTTTCTTGAAAATTTTATTTTTAAAAGACTACTTGTATATCATGTACTTAATATTGTTTTCCTTCGAAATCTGAAAAAGTAAATCGATGACTAAGTAACTAAATTTAAAATTTAGTATTCCAATTGAATATTTTATTTATTTTTTTTAATTTTTCTGTTTTATTATTCAAAAAAATAAATAATATTTTTAAAAATTCAATGCATTGCATATTTGTCATAATGTGACATTTTTTTTTGCTTCATATATTGCATTTCTATTTTCATTCCCTAAATATTACATCAGTAATGAATAAAACATGAGTTTCTCTATACAATAAATAAAAAATTGTTATATTGTTATGGTTTTCTAATGTAATTCTTTAGCTTTAGTTTTTGTTTTTTTTTGTTAAGATCCTCTCCATAATAAATTTTTATTAGGGTTTTTTTTCCTAAAATACATTTAATTTTTATAATGATCTAAAAAAATTTAAAATTAGAAAAAAATTATTTACAAGTTAACTAATTTTAAAATTATTTTATAATTTCTAGCAAATCAAAGTCGCAATATTATAAATGTCGCTACAGTGAAGGAAAAGAGAAACTAATTGATTATCAATCTTTTGCTCATATCTTCCAAAAATTCCTGAATTTCTTTTAATATTAACACTACTTATTTGATAACAACATCAAGTTAATAACAATAAATAATATTGGAGGTACAAGGATGATATTGATCTGAATTGTCGTGAAGAAGAAAAAATATAGCAATTATTTGAAAATGAAACTTGAAACTTAAAATACACAACCTCCCTGCATTTCTTATCTCAAGTTAGAGTATCTCTAACTTGAAGTATAAGTCAAAAATTTGTTTTAGAAAAATTAACTTTTCATAAAGTTCTACATGATTTTCAAATTTTCATTCTAAAAAGTGTACAAATTTTGTAAATACAAAGAGAAACAAACAGGGTAAAACTATAATATTCAAGCATATTTATATTTTGTTAAAAATTTGCTATAACAAGAAGCAATGCTTAAATTAATTAACTAACGCAAAACACTTTCATTTGAAAAATTTAGTATTAATACTAACATGCAAGTGTAAAAATATATTGAAAACAAAATGGGAGAGAACTTCCTTATAATTTTGAACCAAATATACATGGTTAATGCTTTAAAAATAATTTCGCTACCATTACTATACGCAATTAAGCACTGCAAATTAATTGTATTAGATGTATTCAAAATAGCAATAATATGTATATATATATATGTATACATAAATATACTTATGTTTGTATGTATATGTATGATGTTAAAATTAATGTGATTAAATTTAAAATTAATATTGAATCGGATTAAAAATTACATATCTATTAATTTCATAGTAACTTGTAATAAGTGAGGTAATAACAAGTTTAGTAAAAACTCAACTAACTAATAGTGAGATCAACATCTAAGAATAAAAACAAATTCATTATCCACTTTTTTTATGGGATTTCAATAAAAAACTAAGTAGCAATTATTATTTTTTTTATATAAATTTTTTTTCTTGAGAGAAAGTTCCTATTAAATATTACTCATAAAATTTGATATGGAATTGATTAATAATTTTTCCAATTAGATTAAAAAAAAATATGCATACATTTAAGCTATTTTAACAAGAAATATTGCTATTTTTATAAGAAATATTGTTATACTAATTGATTTGCAAATAATTTCCCACATTTTATTATGGGTGCCTACTTATTTTCAAAAATGTAGTACTTGTATGCCTTAATAATGTTTAATATTAATTAGACATTCGTTATTAAATAATAAAAAAATTCTAAGAGAATTGTAGTCACAAAATTCACATATTACTTAATTCTGATCGAAATTTTTTAGGTTACAAATTGACTTTTGCAACGCATCTATGGGAAACGTTGAATTTTGGAATCAGTTAATGTCAATGACTCAGTTGTTTTAAATATCCTGAATTTTATTTCAAGTATATTCATAAGTATTTAGTATAATAGTATATATATAAGTATTTTCATGTATATATACATAAGTATGTTATCCATAAGGACTATATGAATATAATTTATGCGAGTGTTTTTTTTTAACGTTAAAGTAAGAACTGATTCAAATTTCACCTTTTTTTATTACAAAGGTTATTATTTATGCCAAAACATAAATTACTTAGTTCGCTATTTAATTGAATAGAAATTTTTGGTTTTTATTCCGTTCAAATAAAAACGTTCAAAAACACGGAAATTAAAGGGTTGATAACTGATTTCTAATTCTTAAATGCTTGTCGTTCACCTATAGAACTAAACTGATAATTAAAATAATATCAGGGAAATGAAAGATTTACAACTGATTTCTCGTTCTAAAATTTTTGTCATTCTCCTTTAGAATAATACCATGAACCGGAATATTTAATAATTACATAACTAATTTTGTGATTTTTATTTCACACTTTATTATATATGTAAGTACCTAATTCTTTAACAAAATATAATTATAAAATTTGATACCCTAACTACAACCCATTATAAAAACTTATCTGGTTAGATGTTCCGCATAAAAACAAACTAAAAGAAGAAATTCTGTGATATGCTAAATTGATTGAAAAAAAAAATATTAAAAAAATTCTACATCTGGTTGACATTATTATTTTTTATCTTATCATACTGAAATTTAAGTAGAAACATATACATATATGTATGTATACACGCACATGACCAGATGTTTAACAATAAAAAATTTTTTGTAATTCAATATTAAAAATTGAAATCATTGATTTTTTGTTTTATTTTTATACCAAAAACAAGAAAAGAATAACTCACGACTCACGTACTCTTCATATAACAAAATCTTCTTTTTAACAATTTTCTTTCCGTTGCCATTCTCTTATACCCATATTGCCATTAAATTAATGCATAAATTTACTTATACATTATGCATGAATTCTTCTTTTATTTTTATAACACTTAAATTTGAATCGTCACACGTATGCACAACGAACGAAAAGTATATTATGTATACTATAAATGTTCCTATATGCATACATACATACATAAATATTATTACTTTATCCAATATTTTTATTCTAACCAAATACATAACTTTGAAAAATCATTTTTTACATAGTGTTGTTAAGTACATGTGTACTTGCAGTAAATTTTTTTTTTGTTTATTTGTTTTCTTCTTTGATTAATATTAGTATGTTTTATGAATATATTTGGTTATATTTATAGTATATATCCATATACGTATATATATATATATGTATTCAGATAAGTCATGATAAAAAAAGAAATATCACAAAAATAAAACAAAAAATTTGGATGAGTACACAAGCACTTAAGGCTGCTGTTGCTCGTTATAGAATATTGTATAAGGAAGGTACATAAAAATGTACATATAAGAGATCGTGTGCATATATCAGAAATAATTTGGGAACAAATGTATGAATCTAAGAGAAAATCCAATATTATAATTTAAATTTAAGATAGAAAAAAAAATTGTGCATTTGAATTTATAATGTCTAAAATGATGTCTTGGGTAGATTGTGGAGAATGTTGATGGAAATTTAAATTGTATAAATAAAGATAATTTATATACTTATACGTAACGTACATTAATTCATATATACATATCATATATTAATATAATAAGAAATAATTGTTTTATAGAAATTTTTTTTGACACCATTTTTCAAATTTTAAAAATTATTTGAGACAAAATAAATTGTCCACTTCAAAAGAAAAAAAGTTTAATAATTTTTTTATTGAATTTATTTTATATAGGCACATATGTACATATATACAAACCTATTTAAATACAAATAAATTTTTAGGTAGGTTTATTTGTGTACATTATTATTTGATTTAAATATGGCATTGTTGAATACTTTCATTGCTTCAAAAAATACTACACTCTTGTATTGTGTTTGTGTTTTGGGAAAATTTAAGTGCAAATGTACTTAAGACGCCATTTTTATAAAATATTTCTTGAATTTTTTTTTCCTAAATTAATTTGATATTTTTTGACATTCGTTTATTGTGTGTTAATGTTTTTCTTTTATTTTGTATTCTAGGTTTTTATTTGAATATAATTATATATTATCATTATTATTATTATTGTGGATGTTAATAATGTTTAATCCTTAAAATAGGCACCCATATAGGCACTCAAAATTAAACAGAAAATACATACTTACATATTATATTTATGTGCATACATATATATATAAATATATAAACACATCACGTAGAATATCTAGGTATCTATATTAGATATGAATATACATAAGTATATAGATATATTTACAATATTTATAAAATTGAGCCCAAAAATATTGAATAGGTACATACTAAAAGTGGAATGAAAAGAAGAGATTTATTGAATAAATTTTATAAATTGCTTAAAATTTTAAGAATAAATTTTAAGTTATTAGAAGAAAAAAAGAATAATAAAATATTAGAAAGACATATGTAGGAGCACAAGTTGAGCACAAACTTCATGTGGGTAAGTTTATGTAGGATTGCCTACTCAATAATTTCACAACAATTCAATAGAAATTGACAAAATTGTTTTATATTAAAAACAAAAATTTAAAATTTTTCAAAATTTTATCCTTATTTGATTCTACTTCTGCGTCACATTGGGAAATGCCATTATTATTTTTTATACTAGAAAATTTTTTAATATTTAAAAAATCAATTAAAATTTGTAGTTCCTTGCAAATTAGTATTATTTTTTAGGTATGTTTAAATAAAACTATAATTATTTTAATGTTATTGCACTTTTTTTGACCTAGATTAAAATTTTCTAGGTTTTCGATTACATACACACAAATTTTCCTTTTTTTTTTCGTAAATATAAATGTAGGTACCTTACCAAGGTACCCATGTACTTGATTTTTTTTTACATAAAATTTATAAATCACTTTTGTTAAAAATTTTCTTTGTTTTAATTTTGATTTTTTTTTACAAATTATTACCTTTTTCTTTATAATTTTTTCTTTCTTTGATTTCACAGTGCTTTTATTAAATCGAGAAATTAATTAGTTTTCTTTTTTAGTTTGTTAAACGGATGTTATTATCTTTTTCTCAAGATAAACTCGTATTTCTCTTATTTCGAAAATTTTTGAACATTTTAATTTAGAAAATTAAAGTAATCTTCGATTTCAGTTTACTTTAATTATAAGCAATTTTTTTTATTTTTTTTTCAATTAAATAACACTAAAATTTTTTTTTTTCTTTATTAATGACGACTTTTTCTACGCGACTTTTCTTTCAACAAAAAAAAAATTTCTACTTTATTTTGACTCTACAATGACTTTCTAGACAAACACTTTTGAGGAAATTTTCGTGCTCGAAAAAAAAAACATAAATCATTAATCTATTCACAATATTAACGTCATTTTGCGAAGAGGTCACAATTTAAAGCTTTCAATAATTTTCAACTAGTTTAGAATAATTATTTAGTTTACGAAATTTGCGTATTAAATTTTAACTCAAGCAAGAAAACGCTAATACACTTTCCCTCTTTAACGTGTTTTTTGTTTCGTTAAAATTTATTTTTTTAATTTTTTGACAAATCGATTTAGTTTTAAGATAATATAAATACTTTGACATTGTCAAGAAAAAATTTTAACAGGTTACATATGATTAAATTTTTTAAATTAAGAAAGCATGTCTAAAGAAACTTAATCAAAATGTAGAATGCGTATAAAGGCAAAGCAGTGTAATAATCAGTAAATTTAAAGAAAATTCAATAATTATTAAAGAATCATTTCGAATTAATAATTTTATGAAATTAAAATTAATGTATGTATATTTTATTCTTATTTAAATAGTATAATATCAAAAATAATAAAAAATTAATAAAATGTTACTAAATATTATCTCAATATTACAATAATTTTGAAGTTTTACAACAACTTAAAATTTTCCATACATAGACTGCGAATTTTAACCACTAGGGACTGAGATGTGATTGGATACTTCAGGCCCAAAGACCAAGAAGGAAAAGTGCATTACGTATTTTAATTTAAAGAAATTTTATGAAAGAAAATACTTAATCTTTTCATAATGCAACTATTGTCGTCGCTAGCACAAGAAAGATTTTTATTTTTATATTGTCAGCTGTTTCATCATTATTTTTCTATAAATTTTTGTTTATTTTTTTTGAAAGATGATGTGTCAAAAACTGTCAATGTCACAAAATTCAAAAAGTAGTGCATATGTAAAATGTATATACGCACATATGTATGTAAAAAAAGCAGAAGCTAAAACTTTTCTCTTTTTGTCAGTAGTAAATATAAATAAAAAGTAATTTTTTTCAATTTTTGGCATTATTTCTTTTTAAAATAAATAAATTTCAATATAAAAATAAATTTTCGGTTTCAAAAAGTTATAGTTGTTCTTAAATTTTGTAAAAAACAAAAACAAAAGTTTATAAATTGTGCAAAAAAAAAAATTTAATTTATGAAGTTATAGATTAACGATATTATATGGGAAAATCATGGTTAAAAAATTAAGTCAAATATAAAATATGTTAGTATCAAAAACAAATAAAAATCATACCTGTACTTTTTTTTAGAAATATGCTCTATACGTGTTCTTTTTTATTGGTTATTTTTTAGCGTAGTTGCTAAACGATCAAGGTTTTGTCAATTCAATTTCCATTTGTGACTTATCAATTCTTATTGTTAAGGCAGTAAACATCGAAAAGGTAATTGTGTATTTAAGTAAATATTAAATGTATAACCTTGACTTGATTCATATGTTAATTTTATTTTTTGTAGTTTTAAGAAATAACAATTATAAATAACAAATGTATTTCTTTTATTTTTTTTTATTATAAACTGTGTTGAATTTTAATTATAGAAATTTAATCATACATGAATGAAAGACATTTAAAATGTCTCTCAGTTTTCAACGAAATTTACCCTATTTAAAACAGCAAACATCTGCATTACTTAGTAATACATCACCAGTGATAACTTCTATATGTCTAGTCACTGTATTTGGTTATTTTTTATCGTTTTTCGATAGTGCGATAACAGTTCTTAGCGTAAGTATATTTAAAAAATTATGCATTTTAAAATTTTTAAACTGAAATATTCTAAATGTATTTTTTAGGTAACACCGGGCTATATACTCCCCCCATCGTTTTGGATATGGACGGCATTTACCTTTTGTTTTATAGGTAGGAGTATTAGTCTGAAAATAAAATTTCATTTTATAAAATTTTTTTATTTTTTTTTTTTAATTTAATTTGCAGAGCTGCACCTTTTTGAAGTATTAGTTGATATTATAACTGTAGGTTTATGTGGTAAATTATTAGAACCACTATGGGGTCAATTGGAAATGTTTAAATTTTTTGCTATAACAAATTTAGGAGTTGCAATATGCACATCATTTTATTATTTGTTTGTTTACATGTGTACAAAAAATTCAGAATTATTATTTAATGTTCATATACATGGTTTAGCAGGATATGTTGCTGGAGTGTCGGTTGCAGTTCGTCAAATGATGCCAGATCATTTGATTGCTAAAACTCGTTTGGGGAAATTTACAAATAGAAATGTACCATTAAGTGTACTTTTGGTATCATTAATATTTTGGGCAGTTGGACTTTTAGAAGGTACATATCCAGCAATGTTTTGCTCAGGGTTAATAGTATCATGGATATATTTAAGATTTTATCAATATCATCCAAATGGACGTGGTGATTCTTCAGAAAGTTTCACATTTGCAAGTAAGTATTTCTTTAGTGGTGGAGTGTATCCATAATATATCTTGTATTTTTTTAAGGTTTCTTTCCAACTGTGATGCAATCGGTAATAGGAATGTTAGTTAATCCTTTATACCTATGTTGCTTAAAAGTGGGTATTGTAAGACCACCGGCACCTTCAAGATCGATTTCCGCATCAACACTTTCATCTATTACAGTATCCATGCCGGGAGTGGATCCTCATGATATTGAGCGAAGAAGGTAACCCATATAACAAATTTTTGTATAATTTTCGTAATAAAATGTCGACGTATTTTTAGGCAAATTGCACTTAAAGCTTTAAGTGAACGATTGAAAGCTGCGGACTTGAAACAAAATTCCCTGCCAAAATCATATCCACCAGGAGGAAAACATCAACACCAACATCAACATCATCATGCTGGCCATAGCCACGGTAGTGGAGCTGGGCATAGTCATGGCCACCACCATTCAGGGCATGGTCATAGTCATGGTGGTCATGGACAACACCAGCATCATATGCTACATTCAGGAGTCAGTGGGTTGAATCCAAATATCCCAACAACAGTTGCGCCACAATTTAAACCAAATATGACATTAGCAAATCAATTTGCAATACCACCGGCAATACCATTACCTTATGAACCGCTTGGGAAAAAATCAACAGTAACAAATGAAAAAGCTTCTGAAACTATAATAGACTTAGACGAAAGCGTTACGTTTCCTTCAAATCCAAAGTGATTAAATTAGGGTTTGGTTTCTAAAGGAAGCTCACTTTTAACTGAATAGGATATTAAAATTGTGCTTTTTACTTTTAATTTACAATTGTTTAAAATATTTCTCAATAGTTTAATAATTTTTTTTTTTGTATAATTTTTGACAAATTGAGACAAATATTGAAGAAAGTCAAATAAATGAATTAATCACGTAAGATGAAATGTTGAATATTCATGTAGAATAAATTAATTTAAAAATCTTTTTAAATAAAGTTCTAGATGCTTTACGTCTATAGCTATTAGTATTAAAAAATATGCGCCAAAATTTTATCAGAAATTAATTCAAGTCTTATTTTGTAGACTTAAATGAATGGTGCAAAATCTTAAAATTTTGTAGAATATGTACAAAAGCTGTTGGTATTTCAAATTTACTAACTTATAATATTTTCAATAAAAATGTATGATACAAAGTATTTTCGTTATTTTGAATAGATCGTACATTTTAATCAGATTAATTAAAAATATCGTCTTATAAAATAACAAAATATTTGCAACTTTAATTTTTGCTAAAAAATACAAAATATAATATGCATACTTAAACATACAAATGAATTAAAAAGAATAAGAGAAAACTTTTGACAAGTTTATTGGTAAATCATCTTTGTTCATAACAAAATATTATGGAATTTTAATTTGTAAATATTAAATAATGTGGAAAAAGAATAATAATGTGAAAAGTAGTTTGTAATAAAAAATGAACATGTAAAAACCGTTTTAACACAATTTTTTATTATTGTTTTATTGCTATGTTTTTCTATTTTAAAAATATTTTGCAATTGGTTTGAAAATAATAGATCTAAACCTAGTATACTTACTGAAATTAAGTAGGTTTTTGGCGAGTCCATTTTAAAAGTCAATTCTCTAAAAAATAATATAAAAAAAATAAAAATATTTCCGTCGACTTCAACTGACTGAATGTGACAACACCATGAAAATGTTGTATAAAAACTAGTATTTGAAATAGAACAAGTTACGTGGAGGGTACTCCTACCCGGTGCTCGAATTAGTCCAATTAAAATAGCAAAAAATTTTTGAAAGTTTGATAGTGTTTGATTATTTCGTTTTTGAGATATCGCTCGACCGGACGGATGAGCATTTGTTTGCAGATGTTCAAACTGTAATATACCTTTCACGAAGGTGTGTTTTATAAAATAGTATGTTAATAGTAAGTGGTAGGGAATTTTTCAAAATTTCATTTTTGCACTGAATCTTCTCAGATCAGATTTTCGTGCCTTTAAAAGACTTTTCTAGTTATAGTTAGGTATGTTACGTACAGACAATTAAAGATTTATTTCCCGTCCAGGAATTTATTTGCCTTTTCAACAACTTTCTTTTGCAATCTTTAAATAAAAATTCGTATCTGATTTAAGTTGCATTTTTTTTAAGGAATATTTAGCAAAACATGCTGTAATCCTCCTCTCTGAAATGACTTATTTTTTTCAATGCGTTTCCACTTTGCTATTATGCAACGCTTAAATACAATTTACTTCATAGAGAATTGAAAAAATTTTGTGTCTATAAACAATTTTTTCCCTTCGGAGCTTTTACAAGTTTTTATTACATAATGTTCCATTTAATGTTTCAGTTTTATACTATTTAATCGAAAGTTTACATTAGTATTTCATGAACTTGCATACCCTTGTATAATTAGTTGACTATGTTAAAATACACCACCGTACCACTGTACTTCATGCGAACAGATTGTAAGATGATTGAATATATCATATAATATCTTAAATTTTACATACAATTAAACACAACTAAAAATGAATTTAAATTGTCATATAAATCTCAAAATGTTAAAAGCCTAGCTGTCGGAGACATACATACATATTACATATATATTTGTATATTATACAAATTAGCATAAAAAAGCGCTTAAAGGATCTTACGTTTTAAACACTTTAAATTGGTATGAGAATTTTTGTATACTTGGCGATTCCTTAAAAGAACTAAAAAGAATACCGCTAATGCGGGGTTTTTTTTTTTGAAAATGCAGTTTTTAAAATTAGAAGTGCAAAGCTTAAGCAGAGTTTTTTCAGCCTTTGCAAGTCTAATTACTGCACAATACTCGTCTTAAGTATTACAGTGTTTTTAAACTCAACGCATCATCTATTTAAGTAAGGTTCTTTTAGTTAATATTTGGTTACCTTGTTAGCTATTCATACATACCTACATGTGTTATTTTTGTTGCAAAATAACTTTCCATAATATGTATGTACATAATATAAATTCAGATTTTAATTCTAAAGAAAATTAGAAGTTCTTTTGCAAAAAACAAGGTAATAGTTATTAAGAATACTCTATATCTTATCTTCCTTTATCTCTGTATCTTATCTATAAATCTTCTTAACTATAGCCAATTGATTGCTAATATGGTAATTTTCAGTTGCCTTCGTTAGCCTACTTTAATGCACTATATTTAAAAATTCCTTATTTTCTTATATTAAATAGACATGCATATAAAGAATTTGCATTGCTATGATATAAAAGTGTGAAAGCACGCTGAAAATATGCAATCTTAACCATAAGGAATCTTCTATAATCTACAATATTGAATTTAATAATTATTGTTTAGGTAAAATACAATGTATAGTTTAATTCTATATTTTCTAAGTTTTATTTATAAAAATTATTTCTTAGCTTGAAAAATCTTTCAAAATTTTTTCAGATTTTACTATTGTAGTTAATTTTGTATAAATTTTTCTCAAAGTAGTTACTTAAATAAGCCTTAAATGAATTTTTCTTAAATAGTGAAATTAAAATTTTCAAATGTTATAGCTGCTATTGTTTCTATTTCGCATTTTAAACCTTTTTTTAAAAGAATCTTCACTACACTTCGCCACACTTTAAATTTCTGACCACAAAAGAGATTTTAAACAATAGACCTTCATATTTAAGAAAATTATATCGTAAAAGAATTTTGAATAAACATTTTACTTACATAATATGTAAAACTGTTATACGTTTAATAGAGAACAATTAAAAGAGTACAGTTTTAATATCATTAAATAGAAAATAAAATTTATCATTTTTAAATATGATTTGCTTTGCAAATTATTTTATTATAATTTTGTTTTTGCCTTAATATTTTTGTGATGTTATTTTATTTTAAATTATCCTTAAATTCTTCTTTTTAAAATTACTTTGAATTTAAATATACATAAAATTAAGAGAATACATTAATTATTTTTTCATTTTTTTTTAAATTTAATAATTACCGTTAGTACTATATATACATATATATATATATATATATATATATATATATATATATATATATATGTTTGTATTTTTTTTTAAATATTTGTTTTTTATTTATAATTTTATGCAAATATAAATACAAATTATTGAATTATATTATACATATACACAAATATATATGTATATACATATATATATTTTTTTAATTTAAATATGGAGTCCCATATATTCTGTTAGTCGTATCAATTGACGTGATAGGTTGTTATTCAAAAATGTTGAGATTTTCAGAATAATATCAATTTCGAAATTTAAAACTCTACGCTGAAAATCAAAATTCTTTTCAATAATAACTGATCCACTTTAAGCGATGCGACTAACAAAAAATGGATGAGTCTATTATAAATATGAAAAATGGACTAAACAAAATAACAAAGATGAAAAATAATTTTAATGTTTTATTTTTTTGTTTGTTTATCGTTGGTTTGAAAGAGAGTTTGAAGAGCAATAGATAAGCTTAAGCAAATTTCAAATATAATTTTTAGAAAATTTTATTTTTATTTTTTTTTTTTTTACTTTTTAATGAAATTTTTATATTTATTCTGTTTAATACGAACTTGTATATTTTCATTTTCCCATTTTATTTTTAGCCATTTAAATTTTTTTTTCTTATTTTTTTTTATTTTTATTTATTGTATATATAATTTTTATTAGATGTTTTAAAATTAATATTGATAAAAGAAAAATTAAAGCAAATTTTTTGTATAACAAATTTAAATAAAAAAATCAATTTGTGCTTTTAATTTAAGACTAAGGAACACAAGAATAAGTAAATAAGCGAAAATAAAATTCATAAAAAAAATTATGCTAATTATTTAATTACATATGTCTTTTTTCTTCTTATTTCTTTACTCTGATTAATTAATTAATGACTTAATTTTTAATGTATGTACTAGCAAAATGATAAAAAACTAAAAATAATTGATGGTATAATTTTTAAGATTCAATTCTAGCTTTAATTTAATTGAAGAGAATTTGTTTAGAAAGAAAATTTTTGAAGAATAAATGCAACTAGAATAGAATAGTCTTAGAGTGAAAATTTTATGATATTAAATTTTGTTTATACAATGAGATTTCGAAAATTCGATTCTAAATTAGATCTCAATATAAAGCATGTTCAATAAATCAAATGTAACATGTTCAAAAAATTTTTACTACAAGAGGAGCAAGTTCGAAATTCTAGCATGCTTAATGTTCTAACAAGTTTTTTTTTCGAAATTGTGCAAAAATATTTTAAGTTTGAAAAAAATCACATTAGAAAAATTTAAGATGTTAAAAATCTGAAAAAGGAAACTAGTTAGCTCCTGTAAATCTGCAATGTTGCAAAAAAATTTAAGTTTTTTTTAAGATTTAAGTTAGAACTTTATATGTTTACAAAAATTGATTTTTGATATACATAATTATATTTTAATTTACAATGATTTGAATTTTATTTATTTATTTTATCTTATCTCATTAATATTAATTCATAAGAATTTTGAGATAGGCAGTATTTGTTTTAGTAACTACGTGTTTTTATTTATATATTTATTGTTCAGTAATTTGAGAAAATAATATTTATATATGAATGAGGTTCACATTATTTTCTTTTTTATTTTACTAATTGTAAAATTTAGAAATTCATAATAAATTAAGTTTTATCATTATTGTTATAATAGATGTATGTGTAAATAAAATTCAATTAACTAATAATATTAAATTTATACCATCAATAATTAATAATTTAATCGTTTTTTTTTTTAATTGTGAATTAAAAAATTAAATGAATATTACGATTTTTATATTGAACGTTAAAAAGAATTATAAACTTTTTCAACCACTTTGCTTTGAATTGTAATTTTTTTTTTAAGTTAAAGCTATTAAAATTCGCAAAATTTGGAATTTAACAGATTATTTCATTCAAATCTATTTGTAATTAATGTAAGACTATTTAACGCATAATTTAAATCCTTTTTCTTTGTTTTTACGAAATGCTTATTAGTTTTTTTTAATGTTTATTGGTAAAACTCGAAATTCTCTTTTAAAAATTATTAATATAAATGGAAATTGTTGAATCTCTTCTTTTCTAACTACTTAAATATATCACGAAATAAATATAGCAAAATTATATAATTACAATTTAGGACAAAATTATGTTTTAAAAATTTGAAATGCCATATGGAAGTGGAACTGTTCATTTAGTAAACAAATAACTCTTAAAACTGACTTAAAGGAGAAAATTATTTAAGCATATATTATTTAGTATAGTTTCAACATCAATCAAATAAAAAATATAAAAATTATTTACAAAAAAAATTCAAGCATCAAATGTGTATTTCATTCTACAATTTTGCTTTTGAAAAAAAGGCAATTGAAAATTTTAATTTTAAATACTATTGACGTTAATATGAATTCAAATATTGATAAACATTTTTATTTGTAATTTCTTTAGAATTGCTTTTATAATTTTTTTTTTATTTTTTTCAAGAAAACAAGAAAAAGTTATGATACCATAGCAAATTCATTTTAAATTAAATATGTACTAATAATTCACTCTAATTCAAATTATAAAAACAGATAAATATTTAAAAATTTTAGACTTTAAAGTTAAAAGAGAAAGATGAGGATTGCTTATAAGATCATTAGTGAATCAGGCAGATGAGTTTTTGAATTTAATATTGTATGGAATCACATTTTGTTTTTTAAAAAAAAATTCAAAAAAATTATTAAAATTATACTAAATATCAAAAAATTTCAATTAAATTTCATAAATATTACTGATATTGGTCGCATATTAGAACCATTTTGTTTAATTTTTGATAATTTTTATAGCACACGAAGCAAATATGAAATTTGAGAAAAAAATTAGCTTTTTATTTTATTAAGCAAAAACCATTCCTGGTTTAATTAAGCGAAATTTAATACTTCTTTAGAAACATTATTTTTTATAACAAACATAATTTATGAAAGTTGTTTGTACAATTTTTGTTTTCGGAATTTTTACAGATACGCTTAAATTGAATATTACAAAAAAAATATATATTGGATTTAGTTATATAATTTAAATAGAAAACTACATATTTCATAAGTGGATACCGTACATATATTTGTTAATTAAAAAATTAAAACTTACATAATTAAAATAGCAAAATAGCAAAAGAAAGTTAAAAGAACAAAATTATTAAAATTATATTTTTAAACATTTTAAAATGAATTAAAAATTGATATTTTTAATATTATTTTTTCTTTTCTTTAAAATATTTTTGCTCTACAATTATTAATAATTTATTATATTTTCATTGTATGTTGCTTTGAGCACTTTGGTACTATGTAAAAACTATTTATGTTCTATATATCAATATATAAGTATATATATATACAACAATATTTTCATCGACATTTTATATAAAAAATTATAAATGAAATTAATAAAAAAATTATAAAATAAATCGCACTTTTATGTTTTGTGTTTTTCTTTAATTTTTTTTTACTACAATTATTAAGTATAAATATATTTTTAATTTGGAAAAAACATTTTATAAACTGTTTTTGCTACTCTAAATTTTATTTATATTATATATAAATAATATATTTTTACATATATATATATATCTTTAATATTAATTAATTTATATAATATTAATTAATATAATATTATAAGTCATTCATATACAAATAAACTTTTACATTTTGTATTGAAAAATGTCAATTTGTAATATTATAATTTTTTTCTTTTTATGTAAACACATTTCGTTAAGATTCTATCATGAATATTACATAAAAATTATGTTATAAACGTATTTTGAATGTCTATATATGTAAATATATATTATATAATTATGTATACGTAGTTATTATATAATATAATCATGCATATTATACATGTTTTAAGTAAATTTAACTTTTAATTTAAAAACCAAAATGTCTAATTACATAATTTATTTGTATAATTTTGTCTTAAATTGAAATAGTCCTCTGGATATACATATTTTTTTTTTTTTTGTAACATAGAATATTATACATATTTAATTAAAATGTTTATTAAAATTTAATAAATAATTAATATCTGTTCTTGAAATCTGTTGTGATTTTTTTGTTTTTCTTTTTTTTAAATACTATGGCCGTTTTCAATTTTATTATCAAAATTATTTGCATTATTTTCAAGTGACCTGTTATAGGTATATAAAGATTGTAATGGAACGTGAAGTAACTCAACTATTTGTGTAAAATTCAATTCTAAAATTATAGAAAAAGAAATATTTGCAATATAAAGTATTCAATAAGAATTTGTTTTTCTAATTTAAAAAAAAAACTTACGATTTTCTGATGTTAAAAAACCATGCCTAATCATAAAATCTATAACAACTGGGCAGCTTGTTGTTTTAAATTCTGGTGAAAATACCCTTTCTAAGCATTCTTTTGCTGGTAATAATTCAAATGCTTGAACCTCACCATCAGAATTATGTGGTACAAAATCAATTGGTAATTCTAAATCAAACACATATTCGGTATTTGGAAATAAACCTCTATCACTTTCAAAAAAAAATGAAACACAACCAGCTGATACTAAATTTTTAATTAAATGATTTGGAATTGATGCTTCTTCAGCAGCCTCTTTAATAGCGGTTTCAATAATACCGAATCCAACCGATAAACCACCGCCAACCATATTATCCCATTTACCAGGCCAAGTTTCTTTAGTATTTGAACGTTGCTGTAACCAAATCTAAATTATAATATAATGGAAAAAAAATAATAATAAACAAACAAAGAATACAAATATAAATTTTAATGTTTATTACACAAAGTCCTTGAGTTGGGTGCTTAACATAACCATTTATATCAACACCTAAAAATAATAAAAAGAAAAAAAAAGGATGAAAAGAAAATATATATGTATGTATATATGATAATGTTAACACTTTCAGAAAATTGATTATAAAATCAATAAATTTATTTATCTTTCCATTATAAAAAAGTCATTTTATGATTGTAATATTTGTTTTTTTTTCTTTATATATAAATAATATTAAAAATAGTAACTAATTTATTTTTATTATTATTTAAATTTACTTACCATATTTTCTTACACCAAATAAACATGTTGCGCTACGATCCATTTTTAATAAACCTACAGATTGTGCCGATTTAACTTCATAATACTTTTTTTTTTCATTTCCAAAACAAAAATATAAATAGTAATAAAAAAATTGATATTATTAAATAAAAAATTTAATATTATTAAAAGATTAAAAATTATTTTTTTCATTAATTTATTATATTATGGTTACCTCATCTCTCCATCCACTTAGGGCAGTGAAAATATTTTCTGATTTAAGTTGCCTTAAAACTTTATCTAATTTTTCAGTTCTTTCGCCATAATCTCTGAATGCTGGATTTAATTCAACTATTCCCTAAAAATTAAAGTTTTATATATTAGTAAAAATTTGAAATTGAATGAAATTTTTGTATAATTCATAAATGTAAACATTATCACAATATTGACTAATTTTTGATTCTAAGATTGTAATAGTAAACATTTTTTTTGTAAATTTTATAGTATAATAAAGTATTTTAAGTGTAATAACTTATTTGTTATTATCTTGCAAAAAAACAAATTAGATATTAAACAAGTACATGTATTTTTATAATTTTCTATGTAGGTACAAATTTATCTATATTGTTATAATATATCTACAATATCTGTATACTTAAGTACATATATGTATAAAACTTTTAAATAAATACACATATGTACCTTATGACTCATTTTTATTATCACTTAAAATATCTTACATTTATATGCACTTAAGCTTAACCTAGTTTTTTTTTTCAAATATTTTATATACATTATATGTATATTTTTTATTTTTATATAAATAAAGGCACATGTGTGTTTCAGATAAGTAGGTATACATAGGTAAGTACATGCATATGTAAGTAGCAAGGTAAGTACTTACACATTTAGCTGACTATGTTTTACGTACATATTATTACTATTATTATATGATTAGAATAATAATAACTATATTTAAAACTAATTAACACAAAAAAAAAAACAATTTATGCTATACCTGATTTGAATATTCACATTTTCTAATGCAAAAAACTTCTGGGAATCTTTTTAAATGTTTTAATACTTCAGATTTTATTAGACCGACTTGTTGACCATCTACTAAAAATGGTCTTATATCACCTTTTTGAAAACCTGAAAAGATTAAAAAATAAAAAAACAAAATTAATGATTAATTTATTATGAAAAACCAAAAATGAAAATTTTCTGACAGAAGCAAAACAAAATTAATATAGAAGATATAGAAGCGGAAATTAAAACATAATGTTGTTACTTACAGAAAAAGTGATAAAATAATAGCTTAAATAATAAATTTTAGAACTGAAATTTTACATACATATGTAAGCATATTTATATTAATTGAAAGTATATAAAATAATTTTCCCATACAAAAAAATTTACGATATAAGTAAGACAAATCGTATATGTATGTATTAAATAATAATTGAAACGCCAAATAAAAATTGTTATTTTTTACCACAAACCGAGCTTTTTTAGATTTCATTATCTCTTCAAAATAATTAATTTTCTTTGACAAAAAAGTTTTATTAAAAATATTATAAACAAGTTAGCTACTTAGATAGTTTGGAGCTGGTAAATTTTTGAAAAATTTATTATCTTTATTTGCGATTATAATCAATAAAAATAAAAATAAAAAATTATATTTAATGAAAATTTTATGCATATATATATGTATATATGTATACATAAAAATACCTATACCAGCTGATAAGTCAACGAACTGATAGCATGAACATTCGCTATAATGATGGGCTTAAAAAATTTTATTTTTTGCTTTTTGTTGTTTTTTATTTGCATAAAATACATTAATGTAATTTGCAATGCAGTGGGTGTCAATTATGGGTCTGTAGTCGAAAAAAATTTTAATTTATGAGGTAGCTAAGGTAGGTAAAAATAAAAAATATCTGAGTATAGTTACCGAACCACCTTCCCCACCTATCAAATATACCTTTTTAGCTTTTAATGAATAAATGGGTAGGTACAAAATTCAAAATAAGAAACACACAATAAAAAAAAAATTAATATACAAAAATTATTTTTTTTACATCAAAAATTTCAGGTTCATATTAATTGTTGAAAAAGATAAAAAGCAAAAAAATCGCAAATATCTAGTTTTTTTTTGCATACATATTTGCAGTATAAGTAAACAAATACGCAAATTCCTTTTTTTTATGACAATCAAGGTTCTTTTAGTTCTTTTTGGTTTTTTTATTTTATGTTTTTTTTTTCTTGATTATTAATTTTTTAATATAAGACGCCACTTAATATTTCTACCAATTGAAGTTTTTTTTTTCATTTTTCCTTTTTCTTTTTCACATTTTTACTATTAATAGGTGCAATTTCACCTTGAAAAAATATCACCGAAAAACAACCAACATCTCAATGTCGTCGATGATAATAAAAACAAACACTTTGCCGAATAAGAAAAAATTTCGTAACAAGAAAATTTTTATTATTTTCTATTTTTTTGTTTTATTTAATATAATGACGAAAACAACAATGGAAAAAACAAAAATATTGTGGATCGATAATTCATTAACTTGATTTGTTTTAATAAGAAAAAAAAAATTAACACTCTTATAAGTACATATGCACACAAAAAATACTAAATTTTCTTAATCTATTAGAAAAAAATCAATTAACAGAATTAATATTTCATAATTATTGAAAGGGAGGAAAAAAAAGAAACTTACCATTTAAATAAAAATTATTGAACTTTTGTGCTAATTTGACCACCTCTCGAGTCATTTTTGAATATTTATTTTTATTATTTTTTTTTTCTGCTGCTGCTGCTATAATATTCACAGTGACTTGAGACAAAAATTCTTTTTTATACTGCTATTTTTTTTGTTTCTTTTTTTCTTTTAATTTGCCTTACTATTCAATGAGAAGATTTGAATGAAAACTAAAAACAACAACATAATCGAATCGGTTTTCAAAGAAAATATGACATTTATATAAAATGACGCAATTAAAATTAGAGACGCTTTCAGTGTTATTTTAAAAAGACGCTTTGTATTGAATATTTTGGTTGGTTGAGTCAGAGTCAATTAATTGAATTGGTGTCAAATGCGTATGTTTAATAAATTTTGAAACTTTTTTTATTTTTTTAATAACTTTTAGGATGACATAGGTGCTATTAAATTTGGTAGGTACCAATATATTATTAAATTATTGTACGAGTACTGTAAGCATATCATAACATATTAACAAAATTAAAAAGGAAAATTAAATAAAAACTTATGGAAAGTGACAGTCATATATTTTATAGGGTATCTATAGTGTAAATATTCACTAAAATTTATTGTGAAAAAAGAAATTTACAATCTAATTGTGTAAATTCGGTCTCATTTTTTTAAATTAATATGTTATTTTTCAATAAGATGATCCATTTTTTCAATTGAAATTTCGTACTCTCACCTCAATCACCTTCAACAACAAAATAAATCAATAATGATTTTGTATACATTTTAGAAAAAAACGTGATACGCAATATGAAAAAATTCTTTTCACTTGAAAAGTGCATTATGATAGATAGTCCTTCAGTTTTTGCTTTCTTGGCGAGATACACAATCACGCTCTTAAAATTATATGTGTTGTGTGTCATTTATGATGTAAGGCATTCAAAATGGTAAAATAAATGTTAAAAATTGAAATTATCTTTTGCAATCCAAACATACATATGTATTTTAGAAGTATATTAATTTTCAAACGAAATTTTAAATGTGATTGATTAGAGATTGCCATTTATTTTCTGCTTATTACTTGTTTTTAAATGTTCAAAGAGTTCGTAAATAAAGGAAATATAATATAAATAATTACCTTTTTTAAAATATTAAGTTTGGTCAAAAAATAAGATTTTAAAACAATTTGTCAAAAATTGATTTCATTATTTTCTTTTTGAAGTAAAATATTAGATTTGACATGAATTTGTGGTCAGAATTTGTTTCGATACTATTCTTTCATATGAATATGTACAAAAAAAAAACCTTACTAAACCTAAACTTTGCCAAATAGGTTAAATGATATTTGTAATACGATTTTTGTTTTTAACACGCAACGTCAGTGGAACGGCAAAGTCAACTATTCAGCATTTTGCGCCTAATGTTACACATGGAAACAATAATTGATGTCGAAAAAATCGCCAGTGATAATTTGGTTCATACTGGCTAGTACTGTTTATATGTACATATGTATTTGTATATGTAAATATAACATATATGTATATGCGTACATAATGAAAAAATTAAATATATTAAATATGTACATATTTGTTTTATTTACATGTATATACATATGGCTATTCTCTAAGAATTTTGACATTTCACTCCAGAAAATAGCTTTTATCCGTTTTCAACTTAAACAGTTTTTCACTTAGACTTGTTTACAAATTAAAACATACTATATTTTTTGTCTTTTCTGACATCTATTGATAAGTATGAAAACTATGTTTTAGTTTTTCTTACAAGGAAACCGCACTGTCGGAATAGTGGCATGCCAGAAATTCAAAATTAAAAATATCGCCATCAAAAGAGTAAGAACACAAACAAAATGAGCTCGAAAAAAAAAAAATAATAAAAATAAATATTCAAAAATGACTCGAGAGGTGGTCAAGACTAACTGATACACTGATAACGATTAATAACTTAATGAAGTAAGACTTAAAATTAAAATTAATAAATTTAAAAAATACATTTATTTCTCTTAAATTTTATATTCCAATTTTTTATTTTCGCCTTTTAGTTTTTGTTCTTTTAAAATTTTTGTTTTTGAAGATTTTCGCTCTTTTAGATAATCCGCCCATTTCCTCTTCATCTTCTATAGATCGTTTTTCTTTCGATAAGAGTTTTGAATTCTCCAGATTCTTTTGTTCTAATTTAGCCGTTCTCAAGGCTTCAGCAACACGTTCTTGTAACATCATGACTGAATCTTCTTCAACTTTATAAAGTGGCAATTGATAACCCAATAAATGTTCTATCCTTTGATATAATTCTACATCATATTGTGTAACTAACGTTACAGCTTGTCCTGCAGCACCATTTCTTGCCGTTCTACCGACTCTATGTATGTAATCTTTGCTGTGAGTTGGTATATCAAAGTTTATAACAACGTCAACATGTGGAATATCCAAACCTCTTGATGCTACATCAGTAGAAACAAGAATTGAACGACTTTTTGATTTAAATTTATTTAACGCAGCTAAACGTTTGTTCTGTGACATTTGACCGTGTAGTGGTATTGCGGCCATACCAAGAGCTCGTATCATTAATGCTAATCTTATTGTTGCTGCACATGTTCCACAAAATATCATAAAACTGTTACCGGCTAGTTCATTTAAAATATAAACTAAATAAACTTCCCTAAATTTTAATGGTATAAATAAATAGTATTGTTGAAGCGTTGAAACTGTCTGAAATTTATTTGAAACTTCAACAAGAACTGGATCTTTTAATGAAGCTCTTTGTAATTTTTTTACTTTTTTAGTCATTGTTGCACTAAACAAATATGTACGACGTTGTTTAGGCAAAACTCTAAGAATTTTATTCACTTCAACTTCAAAATCCATATTTAAAATACGATCTCCTTCATCCATTACAAGATATTTTATAGCTTTTAATTCGAAACCCTTAGTATTTTCTAAATGATCAACTAAACGACCTGGAGTTGCAATTATAACATGCGGTTTCTTTGCTAACTGCAGTGCTTGACTAAACATATCCATTCCACCAACAATCACACAGCATTTTAAACCAAAAGAAACGCCTAAAAACAAATACATAAATACATGAGCATAAGTAAAAAAGCAAAAATGCTTAATATAAACCTAAAGCATCAAATTGCTCCGAGATTTGGAAAGCTAATTCTCTTGTCGGTGTTAATACTAGTGCAAAATATCTTTGAGACGTTTCAAATAATGCTTGTAAAATGGGTAATGCGAATGCTCCTGTTTTACCGGAACCAGTTTCAGCAAGGCCAATTATATCATTTCCTTTCAATGCTACAGGAATGGCTTCCTTTTGTATTCTAGTTGGGTTCATCCACTTCATGTCTTTCAAAACATCACATATTATATCACTTAATCCCTATTGAAAATAAAATAATTATAATTTCAGAGCGTTGATATTATTTATTATTTAAGAATACCAGATCTTTCCATGTAACATCCTCGCATTTGTGTTTCTCTGTATTTATTTTGTTCGGATGCTTAACAAACGCTCCAACATCCCCGTCTTCATTTTCAGATCCTACTCCATTTTTCGTTTCCATATTTCCATTTTCCTCGCCATTTAAACTATTTTCATCAGTTTCTGAATCAGACATTATTTACAAAAATTTTTGAAGAAATCAAATCAATTTACAATTACAAAATTTGTACACGTGCTGTGGCTGTAGCTATTTTGACTTTTTAGTTTTGACTTTGACAACCTAGATACGATAGTGTTGGTATTATTGCAAAAATGCCAAATAAAATCAGGGACGTCAAAATAGTTTTGATTGACATTTATATGTTTTTATTTTCTAAATTGCTACAAAAATGAAATGACAATTAAAATAAAAATATAAAGCTAAAGAAAAATACTTTTTTCTTTAATTTTATATTTTAATTTTAATATCTTAAAAAATAATATTCAATTTTGAAACGATTTCTAGGCCTCTTTTTATTTATTATGTAAAATAAGCTTTACATCATATTTCACATTGGAAGATATTAGATGTATGTTTTTCTATAAACAAAAAAAAAATAGATGTACAATTTTATTGATGTATTATTGATGATTTTATTGACCTGAATCTGAAATATTCGTAAGATATAATAATATTATTTTGAATTTAAATGCTACTACTGTCAAATACAACACTACGACGTGTAAAAAAACAAAACACAAAAAAAAATTTTGAATGAATAAAAAATATATTGTTTATTTTTGACTAATCTAATCAGTATATTGTGAATGAATAAATGAAAAGAACCCAAAACGATTCATTTATATAATAAATCGATTAATAGATTTATAGTGTTCGATTTTAGTATTATTTTTGAAAAGCAATGTGATTTAAAAAATAATTGTGGTTTAAATAAAATAAAAATTTTCAAGAAATATATATGTATGTACCTATGCTTAGCATATTATATTTTTATTTTTGCCTTTCAAAGAGCAAAAAATTTTGCACAAATTTCGACAAAAAATTATAAAACTAATTCTTAATGTGCGTAATAAGTAGAGTGCACATATGCCTTGGCATGTATAGAAATATATCTTGCGAAAAGTTCATTTAATACCAGTAATGGCAAAATAAATAGATCAATAAAATTAGATATACATAATTAAATAATGAAAGCTAATGAGAAGACTGCCTACTATTATGAAGTTTTTTATTAAAACAATAATTGAGGGCCTACATATGTACATAAGGAATTGAAATACTAGAACTTTGTAAGTATTTAATTTGTTGACAATATTATACATTGTAATTTTTAATTTTAGTAAAAGTAAATGATGCATAGAATAATGGAATGATGGAAAAATGAAAAGTAGAAGATAAAATTCAAATAATGTACTTGCTCTCTTTAGTTATACATAAATAAGAATTGTGCATCTACAAATTTTGGAGTATTTGATCTGAGGTTCATATTCCTGGGATATTGGACTTAAAATTTACATAAATACAATTTAATTAGATAGACGAATAATTGCTTTTTTTAACATTACTTTTATTTTTCTTTATCTTATTGACACATTTGATTACAATTTTCAAATTTATTCTTTTGTTTTTTTTTTGTATTTTTTAAATAATATTCTCATTTGATGACTTTTTTTTTTATTAATTTTTGTTTTATTTTTGCTTAAATTATATTTTAATTATGTTATTTAATGTTTCCTTTTTATTATATAGTTAAAATTCTGTTTTTTTCCTTTCTTTATAATTTAATATGCTTTGAAATTTATAAATATTATTTTTGTTAAAGATGTTTAATTTCGGTGAACTTAATATTCTCACAACGTTTAATAGTTTATATATAATTAATAGTACTATTAATTAATATTAATTAATAATATTTTTTATAAAGATTTGTTTTCTTTAATCTTTTCGTACATACAATTCAAGTTTAAATTGATTATTTTTATACTATTTTTCTTTTCTTATGCAAATAATTTTATTGTATAGGAATAAGAATTAAAAATAGAATATTTTGTTTTTTTTTTTTAATTTAATATTTTCTTTTTTCTTTTATATATTGTTTAAGATTTTTCTTTTTCAAGAATGTTATTTGGAATATATTAATTTGTAAAAATATTAAAATAATATAAAAATATTAAATTAAGAGAAAATGCATTTAAATAATAATTTATTTAATTATATTTTTGTTTTAATAAGATTTAAAGATTTGTTCGATGTTATCAACGATATGGAATAAACGAAATATGTATAATTAAGATAACTGACTAGGGTAATAAAAGTAATCGGGAGTTAGATTAAGAAAGTATTTAATAAATAAATAGCTGACTCGATATGTCCTTTATACTAAAAATATGTTGCTTTCAATAACTCATTATCTAATGTTCAATGTAATAATAATTTTTTTTAATATTATTAAGAAAATCATAATAATTGTTTTTAATTATATTGTCATTACAACATATTAATGTATTTTTCAAAATATTAATTCTTTATTTTTACTTTTAATCAATTTATAAATTTTGAGTTAATAAAATTGGTCACATTTTTAGTAAGAGATCAAGTTTTTTTAAATTATAAAAATGTATTACGTTGGTATGAAACAATATGAAATTCTTAACAATTAATATTGGAAATATATGAAAAAAGTGCAAGATGGAAACTAAAAACCTTTTTTTTTACTTTTCTTCCACCTTCTTTAAACTGTTATAATTTATTTAATAAACTAATTTTTATTTTTAATAATTTTTGCATTGATATTATAAAATAGAAAAAAAAATGAGAAAATTTTTTAGTAAAATCGATAAAATTGAAAAAAATTATAAAGGAAGAACTCAAAAGCAAAGTAAAATTCGATTCTTGCACTTTAAATTTCAACATTATCAAAAGAAAAAGTGTTTTAATCAAAACAATTTTTTTTTTCTTAAAATCTTACTTTTTTAAAGCAAAAATTAGATTATTAAAGATTAATAGACGTTTTAACTGAAATCTGTAATACATAGATTCAATTGAATTTGTTTTTACTCAAAATAATTTTAAAAATATTTAATTTTAATTGCTAAAAAATATGAGAGGTGTTGTAAAGATCATTTATTTGATTTGAATTGAAGTTATTGCATAGCCCTTGTTTATTAAATAAATAAAATAACTAAATTAAAATATAAAGTAATTTTTAAATAAAATAAAATAAATTTTAATTGTGCTTTAACTTCGTACATCTGTATATATATTAAATTTATTAAATAAAATTTATTAAATAAATCTTTAATATTATGGAATTGAATTGTGATAATAAAAATAATATAGTAATTATATTTTTAATATTTTTTGTAATAACGATTTTTTTTTCTCATTTTTTGTATTTAATTTTATATTATTATTTTTGTTTTTTAATTAATGTTATATTCTTCTTTTCTTTTATTATAATTATCACCTTGTATTGAAATTTTTTAAAATTGTTTTAAATTTTTTTTTATGATTCATTTATATATCTAATATTTACTTATATCAGTTTATTTTTACATATATTTAAAAACCATGATCATATTTATTCTAAATTTGGTAAAACATGCCCTTCTTACGCTTACTACCATTTATAATTACATTTATTTATAATAATTATTTAAAAAAAGAACATAAAACATAAATAATTAATTAAATGAATTTTTGAAATTTTGAATTTATTTTTTTTTCTTTAATTTATTTTGTAGCATTTTTCATTGAGAATTTTCATCTTTTTTTTTTCATATAGCCCTAAGTCCAAATCACAAAGCTGAATGTTATTTTATTATATAGTATAATTTTTTGTTAAATATTTTTTTGTAAATTAATTATTTTTTGATTTAATTATTTTGATTTTTCATTTTTCTTTTTTTCATTGAATATTTTTATTATAAATATTTTTATAAGCTTATATAATAATTATTATTAATAATTTGAAATATTTATATTTTATTATGTTAGTATTATGTATGTATATATATATGTTAAAGAAACTTATTATTGGTATGTATAAGTTTCAAAATTTAAATTAATTATTATTAAAAAGCAGTTATACTTTAATTATTTTTAGTATATTCTACTATAGTTTATTAAGTTTTATTTATTGTTGCCATAAAATTCTTATTATTTGGTTGTGTATTCCAGTATGATGAACTCTACAATATATAAATAGATTGTTGTTCGTTTTTTATCTCAAATTAGTCAGAGCTAAAAAATAATATGTTCTTTTTTACGGCAAGAACTGCTTAGGTCATATAATATGTATTATTTTAACACTTCAAATTTGATAAATGATTAAATGACAGAGTAAGCTCTATTGTGTTCGTTTCAAATTCTGAGTTAAAATAAGAAATCTCTTTAGATGGTAAAATTCAGAATTTTTTAGATTTTAACAGTTTATATAGAAAATTGATAAATAATGCTTATTTTGTTGAAACAAAATTATATTTCATCTTCTTGCAATATGAGTAAAATATTAATTTTGAATTTTTTATATTTCCGAAACTGTAAACTTTTCAAAATCTTATAAAAGAAGAAAAAAATATATAACGGTACTAATATTTTCTATCAAAAAATATTTCTCTTTAACTTACATATAACTAAAATTAATTACGACTGTTATTGTGCTTGTTATTACGAGTATAATATTGTAATATCGTTATTGTGCTTGTTTTAATTTTTGTTGTCGTCCGAGAAGTATGCAATAATTTATTATTACATAAATGAATTTTGGTGCATACACATACATTTTAACAATTTAAAAGTAGCAAATTGTTTTTATTTTAAAAAAGAGTATTTACTTATTAAATTAAGTAAGTACTTCTTGTTTAAGAAATTTTGTTCAGAGGATCTAAATTAATTTAGTAGGCAATTTCAATATGACCTATAATGAAATTTTTCTTTAATGTCAAAGCTAATTTGATGTTGTAGAATATTTTTGTACAACTGCTTTTAAAAAAATAAAATTTATAATATTGTAATATCGTTTAATTATAAAATTTAAAGAAGCTAAAATTTTTTTTTCTGTAATCTATTGTATTTTCTGTTTCTATTATTAATTGTGTGGTTGGTTATTCTATTTTTAATATGGTTACATAAATTAAATATCCATTTCTATTGATTTTTATTTTTCTGTTATATTTAAATTGTTTTTTTTTTATCTTGTTTTTTTTTTTTTTTTTTACTGTATAATAATCTGATTTTTATTCTATTGTTTTTTGTATGTTGGTTTTCTATTTTAGTTTAATTAGCAATAATTTAATTATTATTGAAATATATTAAAGAGAAAAAATTAAATGAAAATTCTAATTATATATATATATATGTATATAAATATGTAATATATATGTGTTTATGTATATAATATATTGGTTTATGTATATATACATATATATATTATTTTAGGAATATGAAATATTTATTTTATATTATATTGGAGAAAAAAATTACAATTAACATTAAATATTGTTATTTTATTATAATTTTTAAACATTCAACTTTAAGATGAACAATAATACATATGCGTATATGTATATGTATTGCATGTATGTTTAAGTATATATGTGTTTTTATATATAAGTTGTATTATATTCAGATGATAAAAAAATTAATGCTTTTTATTTTGCTGCACATTCTGAAAAATGAATTTTTACTTTTTTTATTTTTTTTGTTTGTTTTCATTAAATTTTTGTTAATAGTTAAAAATTGTGTTTTTTTTCTTTTGCTCATTTAAGTAATTTAATTTTTAAGCTTATATATTAAAATTTTTTTTTTCGTTTTTTGTTTATAATATATTTATTTATTTATTATTTTTAAAATAGGAACACCCTGTATTCAATTAATAGTTGTTTCTCAATATTTTTTATATTTATATTTAAATCAATATGTATATGTGTGTATGAATGTGTATATTTTATATGTATAACAGTTTTATTAATTAAACTAAAATATTTTTTTTTTTGAATTTTAAATATTTTAGTTTTTATTGTATAGTTATAAGATTTGGAGATTTTTAAGTTAAAGTTTTTTTTATCTATGTACATTATTTTTTAAGATTTACTTTATGCTATTTTAGCATTTTGTAATAGTATGTTTATTACTTAAAGAAATATTTGAAAATTTCATTTTTTACAAGGAAATCCACCATCAACAGAGTAATTTATTCTATACAATTCTAGTTTTAATACATGAAATTTGTAGATTGTTTTCATAAAAACATGAAATTTTTCAATACTATATATAAATTCGAGTATATTGTATTTTTAGTGTACGTGTTACAGCTATACATAAAGATTTTTTATCTTATATTCAAAATATGAATGTGGGATGAATTTCAATGTATTATAGTATAGTTTTAATATTCTAAATTTAAATTTTTAATTTCTTTAATTTTTCAGTTTTTTTAGGTATATTGGATTATACCCACTAAAAACTCGGAACAATTGAAGGGGACAAAAAAGAATCGTAACTCGAATATTGCAATGTACAATTTTGCATTTAAATGTCTTGTAAATATTTTTTTATTTACGAAAATTTTCAAGATTTTGTTATAATTATTTTGCATATACTCATTTTCGTATAGAAATGTCTGCATATATACAATTCTAATTTCATATTTTTTGACTCACACGATTATTTAACAAACCGCAGAAAACCGTGCGGCAATAATCTTTGGTAGGTGAGATTTAAGGATAAATTATTAATCAATCTTCACATATTAATATAATTTTCACTCGTAACAGGTATGAATCACAAATTTGTCTTTGTAGTATTGCTATATTATGTTCACATAATACACATATACATATTGCATACTAATTAATAATATAAATTTATTTTTTTTGTGATTTTTTTTTTGTTTGCTTTGTAACATAAAATTAGGAAAAACTGTGCATTTTTCATTTTCATTTTTTTTTTTGCATTTTATAATATTTAGGTTTTTCTTTTACTATAATTATATGTATATATATATAGCTATATTTGTATATAATGAAAAAAATTAATAAAATTTTAAATGTTAAAAATTTACAATAATTTAATTATAATAGTAGTGTAATTTGAATGACTATACATTTACATACATAATTTATAAATATGAATAAAATATTAATTCGTATATATTTATATATAAAAACATGTTACGTACTGATATAAACATATAAAGGATATTTCCAATACAATAAATTAAAATTTTACTTGTTGTTTTTAAAGGTCATTTTAACATTGTGTTATTTTCACGGTTTACCTTCTAGGGTTAATATTAAATTTAAATAATCGCGTATCTTATTGCTGACATGCAAACTACAAGGAGTTCCGCATGAGATTTTGTCAGAGTTCAGAATAGAATTAATGATAACAGAGAAAATTATAAAGAATATAAAAAGTTTTTTAAACAAAACTTGTAAGATTTTTTTATAAATATTGTGTTTATATTGAAAATACCCGAACTATATTATGTACATATATAATTATTATATTATGAAAGTTTTAATAATTTCTTTGTATTTCATTCTAATTCTTTATAAGAATTTATCCTGCTTTTTCAAATTTATTTTTATTAATTTTTTTCAGATTTCATCAAAAAAAAAAAAATTAATTTACTGTTGTTGCATTAAAAGTTGTTCAACTTGATCAGCTGTACGTAGTAGAAATGCTGCACTTTCTCTATATGCTGTAATAACTTGTCTCGCTGCTGTTATTTCATTGGCACTCAATTTATGTGTAACAATTGGAGGTCGTGATGGACTTTGTTGACCACCAAGAATATTTGAATTTTGTTGTGGTGATGTTAGACTAGATTGTTGTTGAGATGGTTTCATTGACAGGTCTGTTGGTGTAGCTATTTTATAAATATGAAGAAAAAATAGTATTTTATTTAATTAAAAATAAATAATTATATTTAAATAAATATAAATTTAATACTAATATTTTAGAACTTACCATTATTATTATTATTATTTCCAACATTTGGAAAGAATGATGGATAAGAACCTGGTGCTTTTGAATTGACAACTAAATTTGCAGGTGATACACCATTAACACCGCCAACACCACCAATATTAGGAAATTGTGGTGATGAATTTAAACCTATTCCGGGTGTATTTGTTGTATTTGGTGATGTAAATTCAGTTGGTCTATATAATGGACTTGAACTTTGTTGATTTACATTAATATTATTATTTGTTGTTAATAGATTATTGTTGTTATTATTATTGTTATTATTATTTGTAAGATTCGTACCATTTTGTAATGTTGTCAAATTTTTAATATCTAATACATTTGATGATGATGTTGTATTTAATGCTAAAGGTGAACTTCTTGCTGAATTAATATTATTTAATGTTGGATTACCATTTGTTTGAATTGGTATCATAGTTATATCTGTATCATTTGTTCCATTCATATTACCAATATTATTTGTAACATTATTATTAATATTATTATTATTATTACTGTTGTTATTATTATTATTGTTACTATTATTGTTATTATTATTTGTTAATGCAACTGTTGTTGATGTTGATGTTGGTGTACCACGAAATCCACCAGATGTTGTATAATTTGTTGATGGTGCTACTGTATCAACAATTGTATTATTATTACTACCATTAATTGGTAATGATTGACTTATTGGATCCAAACCGACACGCATTCTTTTTGCATTCATACTTTCATTTTCACAAGCTAATGCTAAAATTTGTTCAGCTTGTACTGATGTTAAATGTGCTGGTGTCGGACGTGATGTATTATCCCAACCTTCACGTGCTTTTTTATTACGACGACATGATTTTAAATAGGTTCGAATACGTTTACGTGAACGTTCACTAAATTCTGGAAATTGTCTTGCACATGAATCAATAATAGCTTGAATTTTTTCTTTTGGTTGTTTTGATATTGGTATCATACGATCCAAATTTTCATCAACAAATAAACGTACAAACATATTAAATGCTTTTAAACGTTCTGGATCATGAGCATTTTGATCAAGTTTATCATCTGAATCATCTTCACTATTATCATCTTCATCTTTTTGACCAGATGAATTTGTTTCATCTTGACAATTTTGTTGTTCAACAGATGGTGATTCAACTGTTGTATCATTTCGATGTACTGGTGATACAGATGGTTGTTTAGCATTTAATGCTAATGCATTTTGATATTGTTGCCATAAACCACTGACCATATTTAAATCGGGTGCTGTTGGTGGATCATTACCACCGCCACCGCCGCCACCACCACCACCAGCACCTACACCATTTGTTGATGCTGTACCATTACGTATTGCATTTGAATTTTGATAATTCCATGCTAATAACATTAATTTTAATTTATCAGCATCTTTCATAAAACCAGCATATGCATCTTCAGCATTTGGATCTGGTAATGGTAATGGATCTGGTACTGGAGTTGGAACTGATTCCTATTTATTGAAAATATCAAAGAAATAGAAAAAAAAAATGAGCATTAAAAAATTTAATTGATAATTTAATTGCATATAAAAGAAGCAAAAATTTTTGGTTTTGTCATAAGAAAGAATATTTAAAATTGTATATACCAGATTTTAAGTGAAATATTTCAAGAAATGTAAAATGTGGTTTCCATATATATATCTACAAGAGAATGGAATGATTTTAATGGAAAAACTTTAAATTAATATTGAAAAAGAACTCAAATTTTATTTATTCTATCTATTGGTTATAGAAGTTTTTTTCTTAGGGTATTGTGTTGGGAAGAAATCTTATGGTATATCTTTGTCTCAAGAAGAAACAAACGACGTTCTGTTTTTCCTTTCAAAAGATTTTCAAGTTCAATTAAACTTTTCAAAAGTAAACCCTTTATTTTTCAATAAAAACAATTTTTTTCTTTATACTTTAAAATGAATGCCTTGTCTTTGGGTAATTCGCCATATAAACAAAGTAAAACAAGGATATTGTGTCCGTCTTCTTAACAATTTTTTTTAATACATTATTTTGTTTTTATGTTATATACTCTTTTTTTTAAAGATTTTATATGTATATGTGTATGTATATATATAAAAAATGTGGTCAAGAAATTTCTTTTTTTAGTATATAAGAGAGAGCAATTTTTTTCCTTTGCTTTTCCTTATTTTTAATTCAATACCGCAGCATTAATTTCTTCTTTTAACTTCACTTTTAAGTATGTACATTTATATATGCCTTTATGTATATATGTTGAATGGTAACATGCACAAGAATTTGGTAGGAATGTCTATACATATGCAAAATGTACATCTTTAGTAGTAATCATTAGTCCGGAGTTCTTAATTTCAATAGTTTCCTCTTGAAATAATTTAGTCAAAAAAGGATGAGAGAATTCAAAAATATAAGAAAATTAAAAAAGAAAAATGAGTAGAAAATAAAAACGATGAATTCTTAAAAGTTGTCTTGAAAACTTGTAAAAGTAAACCCCAAAAAAACAAAAAGAAGACAAAAAAAAAACACAAAAAGTATAAAAGATAAGAAAAAATGAAAATATGGGGGAAAAACTTTTATGAAATAAAACAAGAGTCCTTTGACGGGAAGTTTTTTTTTTTGAGTGTGTGTTTATTTCAAAAGAAATACTATAAAAAAAACGAAAAAAAGTCAGTCCTTTTTCCTCCGTAATTTCAACGATAGTAAAAAGAAAAAAATTTTTTTTTTCCATATTATTGCATTTGAAATTCAAAGTCTTTTGGCTATATGGTAAAGTATAGACTGTATGGGTGATTCCTCAAACCAATTACAATTTTTTATCAATATTTCAGGTAAAATCAAATAATTAAGTTATAAAATTGAAAATGTATTTTATGCCTTCATTCTATTTTTAAAAATAAATTGATAAAATTGTCAAATTGAATTTTGTTGTTAGAATATGAAAATTTGCAATATTTAATGACCAATATTTACTAAACATTGATTTATAAAAATAATCATTGAGTAAATTGCTGAAGAGAGATATGGGCAGGGAAACTTCTCCCCTCCGATCACTGCAGCCAGTTATATTTCTTCTTGTACCCGCTTACAAGTAAATACGCGGGTACAAGTAATATCCCTCAGGAAGAAGATAGACGTGAGCTCCTCAACACTGAAAAACCGTACCAACCCAAATTATAAGGGAGTTCGACTTTCCAATTTGTTCAAGTGATATTTCACAGGATAAAACTAATTTTAAGCAACATATAACAGTTTTCTATAGTATATTGAAGATTTAACTGTTATTTATATTATGTCAAACGGTTGTCTTTGCAAATCGTTCTCTATTAAAGTTTTATAAAATTTTCTATTATAGCGGAAATTGTTGCAAGAGCCGTCATCTTATCTAGTAGTGTACTCTTATGACTAAACTAAATTAGAATATAGTCAAGCTTTTATATTACAACAAATTTTTAGAGTGAAAATATACTATGTACGTTGAAACTTCTCCTAAATTTATGCAAATTTGTATAAAATATGCAATGAAAATTGTAATAAGAAAATGACACTCTCGCAAAACGTTTTCATTTTAATGATCCCGTCTATCACATCAATCACTTTCATTTGTAAATAACAGTCACTTGCACTTGTGAGAATCGGAATTAGAATTTACTACATTAGTGGTAAGCAGTATTAAAATTCATGAATTTTGCGAATTGGTCGCTAATGACATTCTGGGAAAGTATCAAATTCTTCAACAGATCGTTTTCATTACTAAAATTTAAAGTTATTTAAACACAACGTTTTAGACTTAAATTGTAAATTTAATTTAAAATTAAATTGTTAGTCTCTCATTTATCTCTTATTTTCTCAATTTCTATTAAATCTTGGCTCTTTCAAATTCATATTTACAATTGACATTGATTAATTATGATTCCAAATTTATTTTGTTACGGTTAAAATTGTAAACGTGAAAAATGAATATTTTTATAGAATTTCCTAAAAAAACATAAAAAAAAACATAAGCTTGAAAAAATCAGACGTTTGATATATAAGTTCGGTATACCTATCCTTGATCAAAATACATACACATTCATACATATAATAACATAATTAAGTATACTTTCATTATATAAAAGAAAAAATAATTTTTTGTGTGTTTCAAACAAAAAAAAAAAAATACTACGAAGAGAAAACAAAACTAACTTTTAATATTTAAAAACAAAAAAAAAAACGGAAAAAATAATAAACACGGAAAAATAGGAGGAAAATTTCACCCATAGTCGTTTTTTTTCCATATTATTTCTTTTTCGTTTTGTTTTTGTCTTTTGTCCAGTATAGCTTGTGTTTTTGAAAAACATAAAAAGTGCCGCCATTACCACTACTATAGTCGCCACAGCTGCCTTTCTCCTATATTTAAAGAATTCTCTCTTGTTTCCGTTTTGTTTTGCTTTTTTTTTTAAATCCTTCCTATCCCCCTTTGGGACTTTGGTACTTTCTTTCTTTCTTTTTCTTTTTTTTTTCATATTTGTAGACTAAATTTTTTATTTTTAATTTGTTGTTATTTTTATTATTTTATGTTTTTGTTTAAAATTTCTTTTTGTGGGTAAAAGAAAAAAAAAACCCAACTCAAAAAAAAAAAATTAAAGTTTTCGTCAAAGGCCTGATATAAAATGAACGCAAAAATGAAAGAAGAAAAAAAATAAAACTGAAATTAAAAATAAGAAAAGAAAGAAAATTGGAATAAAAAGAAAAAAAAAAAACAGAACAGAAAATTAAAAATGGAAAATATAAAAAAAAATTTTATTTATAAGAAAATTTCTAGAGAAGTTTTCTGTAAATATGGTTATGTATTGCATATGTGTTAATAATATAAGTATATATGTATATGCAATGGAGGTCACATTTCAATTTGAAAAAAAATTTTATATTATAGACAGGGAAAACTGTTAGATGTTTAATAAGAGTATACCATAGATATACATTATATAAATTATGAATATAGAAGCAGCAGTTGATTTAGTGTGAGCACAGTAAATGAACAGTGAAATATACATTATTATTTATTATGCATGCTTTATAATTTTAATATCCTTATACATATATTTGAAGTGTTATAATTTGAAGAATAATGTTATACCAAATTTAGTATAGTCAATCGGTCTAGTAAATGAAACTACTACTACATATATTGTTGTGGAAAACTATATAAATAAGATTTCGAGTATCGAAGTAACCAAAATATATTTAAAAAATATTATATAGAATAAATAGAAATATATATAGGAAGAACAGAGATTGCTTGTATCGCCGTAGAAATACCATATATAGAGAAAATTGGTTCTATTGCTGTGATTTTTCGTTATGTTATTAAGTATATTTCTCGGTGGTACATATGACCTTAAAATATTTTAAATTTTATGGGTTGTTTCTTTTTGATATGAGCTCGTTCATGCTTTATTAAGCTACCATCATAGACATACACAGTGATCGTTCATACACAGTTTTCACAGTGATCGTATTTATTTTGTTCATACACAGTTGAATGTATGAAAATAAATGATCACTGTGTATGAAAAGAAATGTTATTCATTTTCATACACAAAGTGATTGTATTATTTTTGTTCATATCTCTTTTATCTTCTTTTTCTTCTTCTTGAATTAGGTATATCTGCATGTTTTTCTCAAAAATAACTTCCCGCTATTAATTTTGTTCCAGCATTCAAGATGTTCCAGCTTCCTTTTTCTGTTCATACCACCTTTTTGGGGTTTTTCTGGGTGACATTTAAAATTAATTAAGCAATTTATTGCCACCTTCGATAATTGATCTTTTTTATATCAGAAAATTATTGCCATAAATCCATTCGCCAAAAAAAAAATAAGTACTGCAGAAAAGTATTTTTCCAAAAATTTTGAATCTAGAAAATTTTCAATACATGTTTAAATAGATGGAAACTACGGGTTGAAATTAGTTACTGGCTTCAATTTACTCATTTTATAAAATAGAAATATTTATATTTTTGAGGAATTATACTAAACTTATATATGTAGATAATATACATATAATGAGCCTTATTCTAGTTGTCTAAGTAGAGCGACAATTGTCGTTACGACTTGAATTTGATATTCCAAGCGGCGATCGCAGTGACAATCGTCGGGGAATAGCGGGAAAATGTGTTTCAGCCATATTCCAGTTGTCGTTGTGATGCATGATATATACAAAAACTCAATTGATATCCTTAATTTTACTAATCCTATATCTTCATCTTTTAAATTCCAGAATTCATGGGTAACTTAAACTTGTAATATTTTATATTTTCGCCACAAAATATGAATTTGGATCATAGGCTTTTGAATATTAAATACGGGGTGAAGCACACATCACTTAAAATTTTCATTTCGTGAGCTTTATTATAGTTTTTGGTGAAATAATTCCAAAATTATCAAACACAGAACAAAATCGTCTACATTATGTCGATTAAAGCCAATTTTACTGTATATCTTTATA